CCTCCCGCCGCCGGCCGGCGCCCCCAGCGCGCCCCGCACCGCAGCCTCCCGCCGAGCCGCTCGCCCGCCCGGCCGAAGCATGTCCAAGCCCAGCGACCACATCAAGCGCCCCATGAACGCCTTCATGGTGTGGTCCCGCGGCCAGCGGCGCAAGATGGCCCAGGAGAACCCCAAAATGCACAACTCGGAGATTAGCAAGCGGCTGGGCGCGGAGTGGAAGTTGCTCTCCGAGGCGGAGAAGCGCCCTTACATCGACGAGGCCAAGCGGCTGCGGGCGCAGCACATGAAGGAGCACCCAGACTACAAGTACAGACCCCGGCGCAAGCCCAAGAACCTGCTCAAAAAGGACAGGTATGTCTTCCCTTTGCCTTACCTCGGGGAAACCGATCCCTTAAAGGCCGCCGGGCTTCCCGTGGGGGCCACTGACTCTCTGCTGAGCTCCCCGGAGAAGGCCAGGGCTTTCCTGCCTCCCACCTCAGCACCTTACTCCTTACTTGACCCCAGCCAGTTCAGCTCCAGCGCCATTCAGAAGATGACTGAGGTTCCTCACACCTTAGCCACCAGCACCCTGCCCTACGCCTCCACCTTGGGATACCAGAACGGGGCGTTTGGCAGCTTGAGCTGCCCCAGCCAACACACCCACACTCACCCCTCGCCAACTAACCCGGGCTATGTCGTGCCATGTAACTGTACCGCTTGGTCGGCTTCCAGTTTGCAACCTCCAGTTGCCTACATATTATTCCCAGGCATGACCAAGACTGGGATAGACCCCTATTCTTCAGCACATGCGACTGCCATGTAACATCCACCCACACCCCCACAGGCGTGTGCGTGTGCCCCCCCCCCCCCCCCCCGGGCTGTGTCGTTGCCCCCCCCCCCGCCCCGGGTGGCAGCCGGAACTGGGATTCCTTCGTATGCATGTACATAAAACCTGCAGAAGCAAAAGGCCACCCGAAACAGGACTCTGCTGCCCGCCACCGGGCCGGGACAGACGCGGACGCTGCCTCGGGGACTCGGAGATGCTCTCGCCTAAACCTCGTCCTGAGAGCTGGCCCCAGGCTCGGGGGGGATCTGCAATCGCGGGGTCAGATAGGAGCCCGGCACTTGTAAGAGTTGTAAATGTGTTTAAACAAACAAACAAAAAAAAAAAAAAGAAAGAAAAAAGGAAAAAAAGCGAACCATGAACTGCCCTTTGGGACAAAGCGGGGGAGAAAAAGGGGGGGGAAAGAAAGAGAGAGAGGCGGTTTCGATTTTTATTTATTCTCTTAATGTCTATGAGTTCTCCAGGGTCTCATGTCACTTGGACTTGACTTTGGGAAGTCCCGGTCTTAGTATGGTTTTTTTTGTTGTTGTTTTCTTTTTGCACATTAAAAAGACGAGATCAGCTGTGTTATATATATAAATATATATATATATTTTGCCACCACGCACTACTAGGTAAAATTGCTTTTCATGTCAGAAAAAGGGTCTTCAAAGTTAAAAAAAAAAAAAAAGAGGGGGAGAAACATTTATATTTAAAACATATGATAGTGTTTGCTTAATTTAAAACAGATAGTCCTTAAATTTGTGTGATCCAGTGAGACTAGATCTAAGTTTACTTTAGACAGAGCGTCAGGTATGAAGTCAGGCAGTAGAATTGTAAAAAATTAATACTACTACTACTACTAATAATAATAATAACGAAAACCCGAATGAAAACCGACGGTAATTTAAATATGTTTTCACAATGTCTTGGGGAAGAAGAAGAAGGAGAAAACAAAAATGTATCCGGCAGGATTTTACCTCGTTAAACCTTTTCATTTGTTGAACAAAGACGTTTTGAATAAAGACAATCTGTCATCAAACGAGGCAACTCCGTGGTGTAAATGCGGTGCCCGGCTCCCCAGCCCCGCGTCCCGCACCGGCGACCGCCGGGGGCTGCGGCCGATGGCTGGCTGGCTGGCTGGCTGGATGCTCCCCGCGGCGGGGCCGAGCTCCCCCCCGCAGCCCCCGGCGTTCGCCGCCGTCGCGGAGCCGCTCTCCTCGTCCCGACGTGTGTGTCCCCCCCTCCCCTTCCCTCCCCTCCCCGGTAGCCGATCTCACCGGGTCGGGGCCGGTTTGGAGCCGTAACGGATCGAGGCGGGCTCCGTTTGGAGCCCGTCGGGGAAAAGCGGCTGCGGGGTGAGAAAAGTTCCGAGAAGCGGGGATTTTGCTGCCGCAAACCCGAGTGTCTGCGGGGGGGGAGGGCTGCTCCCCTCCGCCCCGGCCCCCCCATCCCGTCGGGGAACCGGGCTTTCGCAAGTTGCCTCCGCGGCGTTGAAGTTTTACCGGTGCGAGGAGAGATTTGGCGGGGCGGGGGGGATGTTGGTAGTGCTGGAAGGCGGTGGGTTGGAATTAGCATCTTGTCCGGATCAATTAGTGATGTTTGGGGGGCTATTCATTGGGGGGGGGGGGTTTTCGGGGAAGGGAGGGGGTCTCGCTGCAGAGGGGGAAGGAGTGAGAGGCAGAGGTCCGTCTGGAGGAGCTGAATAGCCGGAGCGCTGCGTGTTTGGATGTGCTTTGCTCATTAAGTGCTCTTTGGAGACCGGTGTTAGAATTAAACGGCATAACACAATTAACATACATGGGGCTTGAATGGGAGGGTAAGCAGGGGAAGAATAGATAGATAAATAAATGAGAGATCAGGCGAAGGTAAACAAAAGGGGAGAGGAGAAAAGGGCTGAAAGGAGAGGTTAGAATGGCTGCTCCAGCCTCGTTTAGCATGACAAAACGGCTCTTACAAATGAGGACAATTAAAGGAGCTGGCTTCGGGAGGGCCTGGGAGCAGCGGGACGATCCGCTGGGACACGCGGGGCTGAATGCGCCCGGCGTGGGGCAGGGAGGCGCGGCGCGGCTCCGGCAGCGCCGAGCGCTGATTTAACCCCAGCTGACAGTTGCTGTCACTCTGGGTGATAACACCGATAGCTCAGTGTCCTTTAACATCCACCCAGATTAGTCTGACAATGGGCGGAAGGAGAGCGGGGGGGCGGGGGGAAAGAGCCTGCCCGCGGCCCGCCGGGCCCCGCAGGAGATGGGGGCAGAGCGACGGGGGGGGGGGGCCGGGGTCTCCCCCCCCCCCCC